TTTGAAAACAGCATCAGCGTATCCTGACATGATAAAGGGAAGTAACTCTGTGAGCAGTAAAACATCACTTTATGAAATGCGGGTATTAAATAGTATTAAAGTGGAATTAAATTGTAACGTCCTCCAACAGGATCTCATGAGTCTGTTGAGAATAGGATGATCTACAGTGTCAAGCCAGTCGTGTTGAAAGAACTGGTTTTAGGGCAGAACGGTATCCCTCATTAGTGTTATGATGGAACTTGTTATTCTGGCGGAGATCGAGAAGGAAATCTGCTACTTTTGGAATCGTAACAGGTACCACATCCCTGCCTTGTCTTTTGCGCCACTGGCAGAACTTGTTCCATCAGTTGCCAGAGATGGCAGATGAAGATGGTCCCCATGAACGAGTAACTGCCTCCGTACTAAAAATGTAGGCCAATGCAACAAGCGTACTCAAGCAGACGTATATAGGGACGTGCATGCACGTGTATGTGTTTGTATGGCTGCTTGTACAAGTCCGGACTGATGCCGATTTATAGTGCTAGCCCACTGAGACACCATGCCGCAGTTTAACGTGAATAACCCACTCCGACACAGTATACTGACTCCGAGCAGACAAGTCCTTGTTTTAGCCCCTTAATGCCGAGCGCCAGAAAGGGTAACAACAAGTACCATCTTTTAACGTCTTTTGGTATGACGCGGCCGGGGATCGAACCCAGGACCTTCCGCTCTCCGGCCGGACGCTCTACCTCTAGACCACGGAGGCGGTCCAGTTCTTTCGTGAATACTTGGTCTCATTACCGATTTTCAGTGATCCTTTCACATAATTTTCAGTTATTCTGCCTTTTATGCACTATGGAATCTGTTTCATTGGATAATTGAGCATGGTTACTCTCTGGCGTTGACGTTCATATTTCAATGAGGTCAGCAAACGATTTGGTTGGTTTATTGTTTAACGCCGCACTCAACAATATTCCAGCTATATGACGGCGGTCTGTAAATAATCGAGTCTTGACCAGACAATTCAGTGATTAATATCATGAGCATCAATCCACGAAATTGGGATTGATGACATGCATCAACCAAGTCAGCGAGCCTGACCACCCGATCCCGTTAGTCGCCTTTTACGGCAAGCATGGGTTGCTGAAGACCTATCCTACCCCGGAATCGAGTGGTCCAGGAACAAGTTGCCGGTGGTAGGGGTTTCCAGCGTTGCCAAAACATCAATATTGCAACCATCTGTGCCATCCGGATCCTATACTGGTATAATAGATTGGTCGTCCGACACCTGTCTCGTTTGGGGCATGTTAGGCACCCGCAGGTCCGAATCTGACGGCGTCCAGCTCAGAGCCACGACGGGTGGTAAGGTTGACACTGGATGATATGTGCTTTATGTGCAATTTGGAGCACTCAGCCGTCCTGTATCCTGGCTGTCTCGGTCAGTGGGTAAGCGGAGAACAGATCTGGATCAAAGGAGAATCGTACGTCAGCTGCAGTGACCGTGTCACCAGCGGGTCTCTTCTAAAGTTTGACATCTACCCCCTAACAGTCACCTGACCTGATATCCTCCCCCTAACGGTCACCTGGCCTGATATCCTCCACCTTACAGTCACCTTACCTGATATCCTCCCACTTAGTCACCTGACCTGATATCCTCCCCCTTACAGTCACCTTACCTGATATCCCCCCCCCCCCCCCCCCTGTCACCTGGCCTGATATCCTCCACCTTACTATCACCTTACCTGATATCCTCCCCCTTACAGTCACCTGACCTGATATCCTCCCCCTAACAGTCACCTGACTTGATATCCTCCCCCTTACAGTCACCTGGCCTGATATCCTCCCCCTTACAGTCACCTGACCTGATATCCTCCCCTTACAGTCACCTGACCTGATATCCTCCCCCTTACAGTCACCTTACCTGATATCCTCCCCCTTACAGTCACCTGACCTGATATCCTCCCCTTACAGTCACCTGACCTGATATCCTCCCCCTTACATTCACCTGACCTGATATCCTCCAGCTAACAGTCACCTGGCCTGATATCCTCCACCTAACAGTCACCTGACCTGATATCCTCCCCCTTACATTCACCTGGCCTGATACCCTCCCCCTTACATTCACCTGGCCTGATATTCTCTTCTTAACAGTCCCCTGACCTGATATCCTCTCCCTATTGGAGCACTCAGCCGTCCTGTATTCTGGCTGTCTCGGTCAGTGGGTAAGCGGAGAACAGATCTGGATCAAAGGAGAATCGTACGTCAGCTGCAGTGACCGTGTCACCAGCGGGTCTCTTCTAAAGTTTGACATCTACCCCCTAACAGTCACCTGACCTGATATCCTCCCCCTAACGGTCACCTGGCCTGATATCCTCCACCTTACAGTCACCTTACCTGATATCCTCCCACTTAGTCACCTGACCTGATATCCTCCCCCTTACAGTCACCTTACCTGATATCCCCCCCCCCCCCTAACTGTCACCTGGCCTGATATCCTCCACCTCACTATCACCTTACCTGATATCCTCCCCCTTACAGTCACCTTACCTGATATCCTCCCCCTAACAGTCACCTGACTTGATATCCTCCCCTTACAGTCACCTGGCCTGATATCCTCCACCTTACAGTCACCTGGCCTGATATCCTCCCCCTTACAGTCACCTGACCTGATATCCTCCCCCTTACAGTCACCTTACCTGATATCCTCCCCTTACAGTCACCTGGCCTGATATCCTCCCCTTACAGTCACCTGGCCTGATATCCTCCCCTTACAGTCACCTGACCTGATATCCTCCCCTTACAGTCACCTGACCTGATATCCTCCCCCTTACAGTCACCTGACCTGATATCCTCCCCTTACAGTCACCTTACCTGATATCCTCCCCTTACAGTCACCTGGCCTGATATCCTCCCCCTTACAGTCACCTGGCCTGATATCCTCCCCCTTACAGTCACCTGACCCGATATCCTCCCCCTTACAGTCACCTGGCCTGATATCCTCCCCTTACAGTCACCTGGCCTGATATCCTCCCCCTTACAGTCACCTGACCTGATATCCTCCCCCTTACAGTCACCTGACCTGATATCCTCCCCTTACAGTCACCTTACCTGATATCCTCCCCTTACAGTCACCTGGCCTGATATCCTCCCCCTAACTGTCACCTGGCCTGATATCCTCCACCTCACTATCACCTTACCTGATATCCTCCCCCTTACAGTCACCTGACCTGATATCCTCCCCCTAACAGTCACCTGACTTGATATCCTCCCCTTACAGTCACCTGGCCTGATATCCTCCACCTTACAGTCACCTGGCCTGATATCCTCCCCCTTACAGTCACCTGACCTGATATCCTCCCCCTTACAGTCACCTTACCTGATATCCTCCCCTTACAGTCACCTGGCCTGATATCCTCCCCTTACAGTCACCTGGCCTGATATCCTCCCCTTACAGTCACCTGACCTGATATCCTCCCCTTACAGTCACCTGACCTGATATCCTCCCCCTTACAGTCACCTGACCTGATATCCTCCCCTTACAGTCACCTTACCTGATATCCTCCCCTTACAGTCACCTGGCCTGATATCCTCCCCCTTACAGTCACCTGGCCTGATATCCTCCCCCTTACAGTCACCTGACCTGATATCCTCCCCCTTACAGTCACCTGGCCTGATATCCTCCCCTTACAGTCACCTGGCCTGATATCCTCCCCCTTACAGTCACCTGACCTGATATCCTCCCCCTTACAGTCACCTGACCTGATATCCTCCCCTTACAGTCACCTTACCTGATATCCTCCCCTTACAGTCACCTGGCCTGATATCCTCCCCCTTACAGTCACCTGGCCTGATATCCTCCCCCTTACAGTCACCTGACCTGATATCCTCCCCCTTACAGTCACCTGGCCTGATATCCTCCCCTTAAAGTCACCTGACCTGATATCCTCCCCTTACAGTCACCTGACCTGATATCCTCCCCTTACAGTCACCTGACCTGATATCCTCCCCTTACATTCACCTGACCTGATATCCTCCCCTTACAGTCACCTGACCTGATATCCTCCCCTTACAGTCACCTGACCTGATATCCTCCCCCTTACAGTCACCTGGCCTGATATCCTCCCCCTTACATTCACCTGACCTGATATCCTCCCCTTACAGTCACCTGACCTGATATCCTCCCCTTACAGTCACCTGACCTGATATCCTCCCCTTACAGTCACCTGACCTGATATCCTCCCCTTACAGTCACCTGACCTGATATCCTCCCCTTACATTCACCTGACCTGATATCCTCCCCTTACAGTCACCTGACCTGATATCCTCCCCTTACAGTCACCTGACCTGATATCCTCCCCTTACAGTCACCTGACCTGATATCCTCCACCTTACAGTCACCTGACCTGATATCCTCCCCTTACAGTCACCTGACCTGATATCCTCCCCTTACAGTCACCTGACCTGATATCCTCCCCTTACAGTCACCTGACCTGATATCCTCCCCTTACAGTCACCTGACCTGATATTCTCTTTCAAAAGGTCAGGTGACCTGATATCTTCTCCCTTTTGACCTTGTGAACACAGACATATCGATCTGAAGGCCACCAGCCTGGCAAGATGGGAAACCAAACTAGTTGAAACATGCAGACCTGTGCAGGAAATGGCAAGTGACAATGTTTATATTCACATACAGAGCCCAACTTCTGTCAACACTTCACATCCGGCGCCCAACACATTTCACATCTGCTGCACTACGTCTGTCAATACTGCAGCAAAGTGCACAAGGTTCTTATTCACACATCCAACACATCTAACTCTCTACAGGCACTGTGCATGCAAAACTTCAAATTACACCAATATTTGAAATCAAAGTTGCGTTCCTTCTCATACAGCAAGTGTTGGTACAGTGGGCAACCACTTCCGGTTACAAATGGATATTCAAACCCATGACAACATATGGAACACAAAAGCAACTTTTGCACAACCAGAGCCATGCATTGATGCAATGATGAAGACACACACTTTGTAATTACTTATTTATTGACTAGAAGAACGTCATCCCAGGACTCTGTACAAATGGATACTTGTGAGGTCGGCGTCATCAGCGCCGGGACTGTCTAGGAGCTGGTGCCTGCCCTTCTGGAGAGCTGAGGTCAGATCAATAGACTCCACACACTGTTTCAAGTTAATACCAGTCTGAAACAGTGACAAATGAACGTCTATCATCTGTGGTGTCAACACATCATATTTTTCATGTTTCACATAGCTACGATTTTTTGTATATCCAACAGTACAGCACACATGCGACGCCATGCTGACAGAGGAGGATGTCTCTTAATATTTCAGTTGTTTTGTGTAAGTGGAAGGATGATGATAATTTTTTCTGACGTTAGCGACAGACTGGATTTCAATGTAAGGATTGCAGGAAAATAATGGTGGGGTCAGTTTAGGGTAACAAAACTATTTCTGATTTGGGCCTTATGTGTGTTGTGACATTGTTGAGAAGACTTTTTGCACGTAATGCTTAACATTAAGAACGCAATGAGCTCTCTGTGAACTTTCTGTACATCCACCTAAAAAAGAACACATTTCATCACTTTATTAACCTTCCTTTGATAAGTAAAGTAACTTGAAATGGTCTGACTGACTGCCTACCGGTGGCTGTTAACTTTTCAGTCGGGCTGCATGAAATTTTCCTCCACCTGCCCAAGTTTTAATTTTAAGTCTACTTACATACTCAGTTCTATTATAACTCCTCGTAGATTCTCAAGTGATTGTTTGCATTATTTCAACTGAATCGAGACGAGATTTGTCTCTTACTTTTTTTGCAATTTTTTCAAAATTTATAATGCCTGAATACAAGCACATTACTATGAAGATAGGCAGGCAACACTTATGGGTCACTTGCCCGACTGTCTTGTTGGGTATTAAAATTATTTCAAACACTGAAATGGTCCAGGGTTACTGTGATATGGTCCAGTGTTACTGTTAAATGATCCAGTGTTACTTATAAATTGTCCAGTGTTACTGCAAAATGGTCCAGGGTTACTGTGAAATGGTCCTGGGTTACTGTCAAATGGTCCAGTGTTACAGTCAAATGATCCAGAGTTACTGTCAAATGGTCCAGGGTTAAAGTGGAATGATCCAGTGTTAAAGTGAAATGATCAAGTGTTACAGTGAAATGATCCAATGTTACTGTCAAATGGTCCAGGGTTAAAGCGAAATGATCCAGTGTTACTGTCAAATGGTCCAGGGTTAAAGTGAAATGATCCAGTGTTAAAGTGAAATGATCCCGTGTTACAGTCAAATGATTCAGAGTTACTGTCAAATGGTCCAGGGTTAAAGTGAAATGATCCAATGTTACTGTCAAATGGTCCAGGGTTAAAGTGAAATGATCCAGTGTTACAGTGAAATGATCCAGTGTTTCTGTCAAATGGTCCAGGGTTAAAGTGAAATGATCCATTGTTAAAGTGAAATGATCCAGTGTTACTGTCAATTGGTCAAGTGTTAGTGTTAAATGGTCCAGAGTTATTGTCAAATGGTCCAGTGTTACTGTCAAATGGTCCAGTGTTACTGTCAAATAGTCCAAAGTTACTGTCAAATGGTCCAGTGTTACTGTCAAATGGTCCAGAGTTACTGTCAAATGGTCCAGTGTTACTGTCAAATGGTCCAGAGTTACTGTCATATGATCCAGTGTTACTGTGAAATAGTCCAGTGTAACTGTCAAATGGTCTAGGGTTACTGTTAAATTGTCCAGAGTTACTGTCAAACGATCCAGTGTTACTGTCAAATAGTCCAGGGTTACTGTGAAATGGTCCAGTGTTACTGTGAAATGGTCCAGTGTTACTGTCAAATGGTCCAGTGTTACTGTCAAATGGTCCAGAGTTACTGTCAAATGGTCCAGTGTTACTGTAAAATGATCCAGAGTTACTGTCAAATGGTCCAGTGTTACTGTCAAATGGTCCAGTGTTACTGTCAAATGGTCCAGTGTTGCTGTTAAATGGTCCAGAGTTACTGTCATATGATCCAGTGTTACTGTGAAATAGTCCAGTGTAACTGTCAAATGGTCCAGGGTTACTGTCAAATGGTCCAGTGTTACTGTCAAATGGTCAAGGGTTACTGTCAAATAGTCCAGGGTTACTGTGAAATGGTCCAGTGTTACTGTGAAATGGTCCAGTGTTACTGTCAAATGGTCCAGTGTTACTGTCAAATGGTCCAGAGTTACTGTCAAATGGTCCAGTGTTACTGTAAAATGATCCAGAGTTACTGTCAAATGGTCCAGTGTTACTGTCAAATGGTCCAGTGTTACTGTTAAATGGTCCAGTGTTACTGTCAAATGGTCCAGAGTTACTCTGAAATGGTCCAGAGTTACTGTCAAATAGTCCAGTGTTACTGTCAAATGGTCCAGGGTTACTGTCAAATGGTCCAGGGTTACTGTTAAATGGTCCAGAGTTACTGTGAAATGGTCCAGGGTTACTGTGAAATGGTCCAGGGTTTCTGTGAAATGGTCCAGTGTTACTGTCAAATGGTCCAGGGTTACTGTCAAATGGTCCAGTGTTACTGTCAAATGGTCCAGGGTTACTGTCAAATGGTCAAGGGTCACTGTGAAATAGTCCTGTGTTACTGTGAAATGGTCCTGGGTTACTGTCAAATGATCCAGAGTTACTGTGAAATGGTCCAGGGTCGCTGTAAAATAGTCCAGTGTTACTGTCAAATGGTCCAGGGTTACTGTTAAATGGTTCAGAGTTACTGTCAAATGGTCCAGAGTTACTGTCAAATGGTCCAGGGTTACTGTGAAATGATCCAGGGTTACTGTTAAATGGTCCAGTGTTACTGTCAAATGGTCCAGTGTTACTGTCAAATGGTCCAGTGTTACTGTCAAATGGTTCAGTGTTACTGTCAAATTGTCCAGGGTTACTGTCAAATGGTCCAGGGTTACTGTCAAATGGTCCAGTGTTACTGTCAAATGGTCCAGTGTTACTGTCAAATGGTCCAGGGTTACTGTCAAATGGTCCTGGGTTACTGTCAAATGGTCCAGGGTTACTGTCAAATGGTCCAGTGTTACTGTCAAATGGTCCAGGGTTACAGTGAAATGGTCCAGTGTTACTGTCAAATGGTCAAGGGTTACTGTCAAATGGTCCAGGGTCACTGTGAAATAGTCCAGTGTTACTGTGAAATGGTCCTGGGTTACTGTCAAATGATCCAGAGTTACTGTCAAATGGTCCAGGGTCGCTGTGAAATAGTCCAGTGTTACTGTCAAATGGTCCAGGGTTACTGTTAAATGGTCCAGAGTTACTGTCAAATGGTCCAGAGTTACTGTCAAATGGTCCAGGGTTACTGTGAAATGATCCAGGGTTACTGTTAAATGGTCCAGTGTTACTGTCAAATGGTCCAGTGTTACTGTCAAATGGTCCAGGGTTACTGTCAAATGGTTCAGTGTTACTGTCAAATTGTCCAGGGTTACTGTCAAATGGTCCAGGGTTACTGTCGAATGGTCCAGTGTTACTGTCAAATGGTCCAGGGTTACTGTCAAATGGTCCTGGGTTACTGTGAAATGGTCCAGGGTTACTGTGAAATGGTCCAGTGTTACTGTGAAATGGTCCAGGGTTACAGTGAAATGGTCCAGGGTTACAGTCAAATGGTCCAGTGTTACTGTCAAATGGTTCAGGGTTACTGTTAAATGTTCCAGGGTTACTGTCAAATGGTCCTGGGTTACTGTCAAATGGTCCAGGGTCACTGTGAAATGGTCCAGGGTTACTGTTAAATGGCCCAGTGTTAAAATCAAATGGTCCAGTGTTACTGTCAAATGGTCCAGAGTTACTGTCAAATGATCCAGGGTTACTGTCAAATGGTCCAGTGTTACTGTCAAATGGTCCAGGGTTACTGTCAAATGGTCCAGTGTTAGTGTCAAATGGTCCAGTGTTACTGTCAAATGGTCCAGGGTTACTGTCAAATGGTCCAGGGTGACTGTCAAATGGTCCAGGGTTACTGTGAAATGGTCCAGTGTCACTGTCAAATGGTCCAGGGATACTGTCAAATGGTCCAGGGTTACAGTGAAATGGTCCAGGGTTACTGTTAAATGGCCCAGTGTTAAAATCAAATGGTCCAGTGTTACTGTCAAATGGTCCAGAGTTACTGTCAAATGATCCAGGGTTACTGTCAAATGGTCCAGTGTTACTGTCAAATGGTCCAGGGTTACTGTCAAATGGTCCAGTGTTAGTGTCAAATGGTCCAGTGTTACTGTCAAATGGTCCAGGGTTACTGTCAAATGGTCCAGGGTGACTGTCAAATGGTCCAGGGTTACTGTGAAATGGTCCAGTGTCACTGTCAAATGGTCCAGGGTTACTGTCAAATGGTCCAGGGTTACAGTGAAATGGTCCAGTGTTACTGTGAAATGGTCCAGTGTTAATACCTGCAGCTGTTGTAGAGACTCCTCTAAACTGGGCACAGTCACAAGGATTGTATTGTTCCTTAGCGTTGAAAACAGGTAACTCCACAATCTGCAGGATAAAAAACAATTTGAAAAAGATATTGCAAAACTTGTTTACAACTGCAGACAGTTTTGTTTAAGGGTTTCTTGAAATAATAATATGATTAATCAGGCAAAATTTACAATTAATAATAATTTCATACTACTTGTAGACACAAAAGAACAACGTCTTGTCCAATGACTTCAGATTTACAAGTTCATGATCATAGCATCAAAACTAGTGACAATGTGCTCAGTGGTGCTCAATGTGCTTTAATTAACAGCCCAATGTCAAGACATAGTGAATGTCCTCTATGTCAGTCTTATGTGTTTAACATCACTATACCAAAAATTATGTAAAATCAGTAAATACTATTTAGGGAGGCCAGTGGCACCAATCCCTAATTATTGTTCAAATGTATCTTTTTTTTATGTTACTAATTAATGTAATAACAGTGGTACATTAATGTTTAATGCCACACTCAGCTATATTCCAGTCATATGATGGAGGCCTGAAAATAATCAAATCTGGATTACAAAATTCAGCGATTGATATTATGAACAATCCACTCCCTCTGGACAATGACATGCTATGAACCTAGTTAGACCACCCAATCCATTATATCACCTTGTATGACAAGCATAGAATCCTGGAATCTTGGAATCCTCATGGAGATAACCATCTTTTCTTAGCAGCATGAATCTCCTGACGAAACACATGTATATCTGATGCCAGGTCAGTTATTGTCACAAGCAATTGGTCACCTGACCAGGAAGTATGCCTTTCAATAAGAATCATGGTCTAACCATAAAACATTCCATGTCTGAAGATAATAATTAATCACTATTACAATGTGGTACTTACTTTTCCTGTAAATCTTTCGGCACGAAGAACTCAAACACATTGTTCAAGATAACCACATCACCTGCAAATAAAGTCCTTGATTTTATTCACACAATAGATTATAATGGACAAGCAGCCATGGTCTGTTATAGGTCAGTGTGCACATCCCATATCAGGTTCTGTCTCTGTGATATGCATGTACACTCTCCTACCCAGGGTTCCTTGTGGTCAACCTTCGTCACATCTTACACAGTCCATTCAACAAATTACATTGTTTTATCTACCGTAAATCTTGAAAATTATGCATCTCTAAATTAATACGACTGCTGACCCCTAGCCCAAAATGCCACTCAATATCAATGCAACTCCCCACCCCCAACCCCATCCCTAGTGGAATGATACATATTCTTACCTTATACCAATCAAACAGCGAATAGTACCGATTATTTGCACTGAGTAAAAACAAACAATGTTTTCCTGAAAACACCACACAGTTTATATGTTTATTCTGTTGACTGGCATTAAGGAAGCTCAAAGGCAATAAAATTATTGAACCAACAACAGTTCACTGATTGGAGTGGTCAATGATGCCTAGTTTGTGGGTAGAACTCTTGACCTCAGCAGTGATAACTCACCGGATGTGTAATTTCTATTCTTTAATTCACATTGTTATGTACTTGTCATAAATGCTGCTCAAAAAACCATGTTTGTGTTTATATTCAAGTTGGTATTTCCGCTATCCAAAGTGTGAAGTGAGGCCATCTAATTGTTGATAGTCATTTTGGAGACATAAATGCGAAGTTTCATTAATGCGAACAAAGACCACACATATTTTTCGCTTCCAATTAGCACTCGCATTAATTTCAAGATTTACAGTATTTTATTTTAAAAGTGTACACATTTAGATAGATATAACATGAAATGGATAACTTAAAATATTCAAAATCATGAAGAACTCTTTCCACTTATTAATTGCACATTTATCCTCCATTTACAACGGCTTTACAGTTCTACATGCAGACACAGCAGCTCTACAGATAAACAGCAAGACGGTCAATTTGATGTATACAGTGACCCCTCACTACAACGCTACCTCGGGGGTCCGAATAATGGATGAGCATTATAAACATTCAGCAGTATAACCGAGGTGAGTCGTAGGGGGTTGATGTCCGACACGACAGTACATGCACTGTCTACCTAACACGATGTCAATGCACATATCAGAGTTTTTAAAAAAAGAATAGAAGTTGTTTCTGATTCATAATGTAAAAAAGTATTGATTGAGTGTTTATGCGCTTTAAAAAACATCATATCCCAGCGAATTCAAGTGAACGAACAGGTATAACAAACTTGTCAATAAAAATGTGAAATTCAATATAAAACATCAATAGACATGATGATTTACCATTATTACATATATTGTCATTCTCCTAACTGTCACAGTTGTCAGCCTGTTGTCATTAAACTTAATGATTATGTAAAACATCTGTAAGTCACACTGAAATGCCACCATTAGGCCGGACTGATCTCACTTCTGATTAAAAGTGTTTGTTTACAAACAATAGAAAAGTCAGATCACGTGATATGCTAATCAGTGGTGTAATGCTAAGTCGTTACTGCGCCGGAGCGGGATTCATTTACTGAGATGCTAAGGGACAGACTATTTCATTTCATTTTCACCTCACATTTGTGAATACATGCTTGAGTATATAATCATTATCATTGTTCTCAGATTTCCTTCACTTTGTGGCTTTAACATTTATAGCTAAATTATCACAAAAATAGCTCTTGCTTTCAGGTTTTGTTTGTTTGTTGTTTAACGCCACACTCAGCAACATTTCAGTATGTAACGGCGGTCTGTAAAAAATTGAGTCTGGACCAGACAATCCTGTGATTGATATCATGAGCATCAATCAACGAAATTGGGATCGATGACATGCATCAACCATTGCTTTCAGGTAAGTGTGTCACACATCAATGTCATTCAAATTGTCAGTGTAGCGTAGAAGTTTACTACTAGACAGTAAGGCAGGTAGGACTAAACTTCCCCTCTCCCAACAGAAATGTTACCAGCCACGGTACAGCAGGCAGGCATTTCAGACACTGTTCAAAACGCGCTTAAATAATTCCAAGAGGAGAAGTCGAAAACATTACTTTTAGGCTAAAAAAAAATAGTAGTCTTGGTTCTCAGGCACCACCCGCATCATCATAAAGTCTGCTGCACGTTTCGTTTTTATTTCCATTTTAAAAAAAAAATCCTAATACTTAAAAACAATGCAATTCCAATAGAGCATGCAGTTACTTCCCTTTATATGCGCTCTGATTTACGGCGCATCTCATGTTATGGTCATGGTGGCAATAGGAGTTTGTATACTTGTTTATGTAGGGAGGCCCTTCCCCGGGTTGATGGTACACAACTGTTTATCTGGTGACATACTAGTTTGAACAACCACTTAACAAAAACACTCCACACCCACACTATTTGGCTGGGACCGGTAACTCGGGTACTTGGGTCAGGTGGGTCCTGAGTACGACCCGGGTACCCACAGGACTACCCAGACCCATGGTTAGTCACATAATATATTGTTTAATGACAAAAACTCACTATAGCTCAATGGTTACACTACAAGTCGCTAATGTTTGCATTTCTTTCTGACGATGCACACATTCCTTTTGACTTGTTGATATTTGAGTAAAGATAAAGCTTCAGTCAACTTCAGTCTGTGCATGATCTGATCATTTGATACATGTATCTAAATATTTTTGGCCATGGCTGAGGTAAAACAATTCCCAATCAGACATTTTGTTCCCAACTCTTGAGACCTGCAGTGAGTACCCAGGTAGGGTCGGGTAATAGGGGGTCAGATACCCGATTGTAATTAGGACTCGTCCCAGCCCTACGCACTATATTTTCAAAAGTCATTGCCTGAGAAACAATTCTTTTATTTTTTTAAGCCTTAGTAAACAATGTGTGTGACTCATGTTTAATCATGATATTGACTACTATAGATTGGCCAAACAATGCATGAGAAAGCATCCACACTTATCAACCAAAGTGTTATCTATCACATCAGTGGAGAGAATGTACTTTCATATCCAAAGATACAAACAAACAGAGACGACAAGAAATATATTCATGAAATTGATCCAAATAATATTTGTTGATCTTGATATTTGCCAGGAACTACTGTACAAAGCTTTAAACCCATTTCACCCACACGTGTTCATTCTGACCATCTTATCTCTTTCTTCATCTGGAAGTAGATATCTGCACCTGATGTATGGCTGGGTCAAGGGCATACTTACTGGAAGCTATCAGCGTTCCCTTGTTCTGTATGTCGTCATGTATCACCTGCACAACAATTATAGTCAATATCAACATCAATATTATAGTCCTGGTCTGTTGCAAATAGTCAGAATACAAGTTGACATTATCGGACAGGGATCGTCACTTTTTTCGCTACAGCGAATGACGATGCACTTAATGAAATCTATTGTACCCTTCTATTTGTTTTGTTTGTTTGTTGTTTAATGCCGCTCTCAGAAACATTCCAGCTAAATATGACGGAAGCCTGTAAATAATCAAGTCTAGACCAGACAATCCAATGATTGATATAGTGAACAACAATCCACATTGTCTGGGTACAATAACTCACAATCACCAAATCACCGAGTCTGACCACGTATGAATGTAGCACTTATTTATACAATAGTTGTAGGGTATGTAGCGCTTATATATACAATAGTTGTAGGATATGTTGCACTTACATATACAATAGTTGTAGAGTATGTAGCACTTATATATACAATAGTTGTAGAGTATGTAGCACTTATATATACAATAGTTGTAGGGTATGTTGCACTTACATATACAATAGTTGTAGGGTATATAGCGCTTATATATACAATAGTTGTAGGGTATGTAGCACTGATACATACAATAGTTGTAGGGTATGTAGCACTGATATATACAACAGTTGAAGAGTATGTAGCACTTACATATACAATAGTTGTAGGGTATGTAGCGCTTATATATACAATAGTTGTAGGGTATGTTGCACTTATATATACAATAGTTGTAGGGTATGTAGCACTGGTATATACAATAGTCGTAGGGTATGTAGCACTAATATATACAATAGTTGTAGGGTATGTAGCACTGGTATATACAATAGTTGTAGGGTATGTAGCACTTATATACACAACAGTTGTAGAGTATGTAGCACTTACATATACAATAGTTGTAGGGTATGTTGCACTTATATATACAATAGTTGTAGGGTATGTAGCTTGATAACGGTGTTAGAACCTACACCGAAACGTCGCTCTTAATTGTAATAAAGAAGTTGTTCATCCATAAATTTCTTATCCTTTCTATGTAGCACTGGTATATACAACAGTTGTGGGTCTGTAACACGTCTATTGATGTAATGAAGGCAGGTACCTGTATTCTGTCCCCCATCTTATACTTGGAGACAGCGGCTGTCTGGAGGCTGGTGAATGTTGAGTCAAGCTCCACCCCCACAATGTGCTTGGCCTTGCTGTACAGGTAGGCCTGGTGGATACACAAACTCATCTCACACATAGTATTATTATATTACCCAAACTTACTACGAAAGAAATATATATACATGTACAGGGCTATATAAAAAATGCACCAGTGCAACTAGCTTTTCACATCAACATGCACCTGGTGCAAATGAAGCCCTGGGCCTCGATCTCAGCGCTACAATGATCTTAAGCCTATGTTAAAGTATGGGACTTACGATCACCTTAGCGCTAAGATTGCTTTGAGGAACAGGGCCCTTGGCCCACTTGCACAAAGCAATCTTAGCGCTAAGATGATCGTAACTCCCATACTTTAGCACAGGCTTACAATAGTCTTAGCGCTAAGATCGCTTTGTGCAAGTGGGCCCTGATGCAGTTAAAGTTAAGAAATCTATTTTGTCTTTCTCTGTTTCCATTAACAATGTTGTTTATAATAAAAAACTCCACCTGAGATTGATTTGAGGCCAGAAGATTAATTTCTTTACTTCACCCTGCTGATATTTGAAGATCATTTTAAATATTTTATGAGATAACCTTAAAATATAAGATAATTGTTTCAGAACCTTCTTCTAATTTCAATTTTGAACATGTGTTTCGAAGAAAATTTAGTAAACCAACTAAAGATTGAGCAATTAAAAAAAAGAAATTATTATAACTGCTCAATGACAGGAAATCCTTCGAGAGGAACACCAGTATACATTCTCAGTCAGGTAAAAACACATCCCACCTACACTGACATAGTGAGATTAACACAGGTTGGATCAATTGTTTTAGAAAAAAATGATGAGTGGGAATTGTTTATCATACAATAAAATACCTCAGGGAGAATAAGCCATGAGGGGTGCAGCTCCAAGTGGTTTATTCTCACTGCAGTGTTTTATTGAATGAAAAACAACTCCCACTCGTCTTTTATTTCTTATATGAGATATCAACATTATGTACAGCCTCTTTAAGGATGTTTACTAAAATGCACAAGCTTTACATATTTACCCGTATTTTAATAATGATGACTCCCTCAACAGAACCAACCTAGGCAAAGTCAGACAAGTCCATTTAATGCACAGGTGGGTTTTTCCCGCATATTCTCACAATCCTCACATCAGTTACCTGTACCCTTCTCCCAATACCGATTGTCATATGTCTCACTTTTGGATACGATCATTCGGCCATCGTGTTTAGCTGCGTTGCCCAGCTACACCTCAGTTGAACAACTCACTAGACATCCCCTCTCAAAAGTAACATAGTCCAATATACGACGTCACCAAGTTGCGAGCACAACTTCGAATCTCCAGAAATGAAGGCATGATAGAACAACGTTTTATCGTGAGATAAACCACACTTCGTTCTTCATTGTTCTTTGCGATTTATCAAGTAGGTATTGTATATATGTAAACAAAAGACTGTACCCCATACAGCAAAGCGCCAGTCCGAGACCCAACATCCAGTACTGTCTTCCCACTGAGGTCGGGCAGGGCGTAGCTAAAGATGTACTTCACCTGACTGGCAGATGCCGAGTGTGTGATGAATGCTGCAAACAAACCAGTTATTGTAAAGTTGGGTAAGTGAGTGAGTGAATGCTACCATCACATACTGATCACAGTTCATAAATAACTCTGGCCCAGTCAAACCCAGGGACGTAGCCTTGCCTTCACTAATATTTACATTTTTTTTTTTAAATTAATAGTTTTTATGCCTGGATATCAGTGTTCTATATGTGGACCAAGACTTTCCTGTGAGACAGTCATGGAAGAGTTTGCTGGTTTCACCTATTTCATCTTGAGACCTACAGCAGGTACCTGAGTAGGGTCGGGTAATAGGGGGTTGGGAACCTGGGTATTTAATTTGGACTCGTCCCAGCCATACACCAAATCCACTTTTCGACTGTGCTGAGGAGCCACTGTGCCCCTGATGTCTCACAGGACGACATCTGATGTCTTCTCAGGCAAGTGACTTTGTTTGAAATATATCTCTGCATGTTCACCCAGGAGTGAATGGGTACCCCAGCCGAATGACCTGGCAATGCTACTGATAACCGTCGAGCACCTGACAAACAGCATGGGTAGTATATTCCCCAGGGAGCTGAGAATGAAAATCGAGTGCACACAGATGCACTGACTGTAGAACACTAATGTAATACACTAATGTGGAATAAAAATATTACATAGTGCACACTGATGCACTGACTGGGGCAATAATGTAGCACATTGAGCATGCTCAAGGGTGTGGATTTGGCACATTATAAATATGCACATTATCATTAGTAGTAGTAGTAGTAGTAGTAGTAGTAGTAGTAGTAGTAGTAGTAGTAGTAGTAAGGCAGCACTGACTGAGAGGCTGGACATCCTTGGAGCCACAGCCGGTGCAGTAGTTCCTGCTCATCTTGCCCTCCTCGCACAGCTCGTCTACGGCATCCTCGTCATACAGGAAGGCGTCGACGTGTACCGTGGTGCTGGGATCACAGTCAGCATTCTTAACATACAGAGGATGACAACATGAACAGGCACATATTTTTTTTATATTTATTTTTCGTAATCATTTATGTTATCTTATTCAAACATATACAATAATAAGAAGAAGACAAATGTTTTTGCTGGAATTAGCAAAATAAAAACAAGTGAAATGGCCAAGAAGTTCAACTTAAGCTACAGATATATCGATAATCTGATATCGTTCAATAATGGTCAAACAGCCAATTCCATCCCACTGATATACCCACTTGAGCTATAGGACCCGTGGAGATTCCGGGGTAGAATAGGTCTTCAGCAACCCATGCTTGCCGTAAAAGGTGATTATGCTTGTCGTAAAAGGCGACTAACGGGATCGGGTGGTCAGGCTCGCTGACTTGGTTGATGCATGTCATCGATCCCAATTGCGTGGATCGATGCTCATGACATTAATCACTGGATTGTCTGGTTCAGACTCCATTATTTACAGACCGCCGTCATGTAGCTGGAATATTCTGAGTGCGGCGTTAAACAACAAACCAACCAACCAACTTGAGCTATAGAACAGTGAACAACCTTGTCTGTTTCACATTTAGATATATGCATAAAGGTTCAATGTAACAAAATATGTATGACAAGACGGATGACATCAACTTTCCAAAAGACAATTTATCTTTCAAATCGAACAATATTCCAGCAGCTCCAGGCATCCTGTCTAGATTTCACAACTTTTGAGGTACAATCGAGCATGTTTTTCAACAAATATTTCAAAGAGTGTCATACGACTCTTGCTCAAAAGTTGTTTGATCAAGGTTACAACATTCAAGGCCTCAGTATAGCTTTCAAAATGTTTTATGGAAGACAAGTGGAGGACATTTGCAAATGTGACGCATAAGTGACACAAATGTTCCTTTTTTCTCTCTTTTTTCCTCACTTCATTTTGTTTTTTTCTTGGGTACAGATAGGACATATTCCAACTTGATCTAAAACCAGCCCAATCTAATTACTTGTTTTTCTGAATTTTTAGGTTTGTCATTAAGCAAAGAGACAGGAGGCCGAATGAAACTTAAATAAATGTTATCCAGTTGTTTTGAGTTTTATAACCTAAAACAAATTCTAAGACAAAAAAATTAAACAGCAATACAATAAAAAAACATATTATCAATAAAACAACATTTTTTATCTCTTGGTTACTTACGCAAAATTTAGTGTAAGCTTGTCCATAAAACAAGAAAGTAGATTGGATCTGACTAAACTATCAAGTGTATTCAATAATTTTTGTCCTTTTCTTCTTCGTGACCAGGTACAACAGTCTCACTTTGAATACCTGTACAGAACGTTCTAAGCCGTTCCATTTTCAGTCTAAGCACATTTATATAATGATGTGCCTTTTCGGCACAAGTAAATGAATGAAAAGTTCGAAACAATGCACCTAACATTTTTAAATTGCAGGAATGTAGTAAATAGTTTTCTTGCAGTGCACATCATGAAATGTAACGTATTGGATCAAAGTCCTTTTAATATTAGAACAGAATGTGGTGTCTCATGGAAAATAGCATATGGTTTTGAATATAACAATGGCATTTGAATAGATGTAATTGAAACAGATTTATGGAAAATAGCATATGGTTTTGAAGATAATTAAGGTATTGGAATAGGTTGTGTTGATACAGGTTAATGATAAAGGTTTAAGACAGTGAAACACTGTTAATCCAGACAAAACCATCCTCAGTGAAATCGTCCAGATTAACAAAGTTCTGGATCTCTCATGCTCAAAGCTGTCTCATAGGGCTGAGCCTGGTAACTCGAGTCGGGTGGGTACTGAGTAGGACCCGGGTACCCACAGGACTACCCGGACCCATGGTTAGTTGCGTGAGATATATTTTTTTATGACAAGAGCAATAAAACTCTCTGGTTACACAACAAGTCAAATATGTTCGTATTTCAGTCTGACTGTGCATGCATTCCTTCTGACTTTTATATCTTCCAGTATAAATAAAGCTCAGTCAACCTCAGCGTTTGCATGATCAGATCATTTTATATGAGTATCCAAATAGTTTTTGCCAGAGCTCTGGTAAAATAATTCCTAATCGGACCTTTTGTTCCCAAATATTGAAACCAACAGCAGATACCTGAGTAGGTTTGGGTGATAGGGGGATGGGTACTCAGGGAGCATATTTGGACTTGTCCCAGCCCTATTGTCCACACGGCTGGGGTGTCTGTCTAACAGGGTCCAGACTAACCAGGTTTCAATATACACAACTCACTGGTCCTGTCTGGGGGAAATGGAAGCTCTCCGTGCTTGACACGGCGTTGATCGGAAGCTCTGCCCGCAGGTGACTCTGAATGGTCTCCAACATGACATCCTCGTTACTCTTCTCCCTCGTCACATCTCCCCATTCACCTGACATACATTACATCATTCATATTCAGCAGTATAGTACTTGACATGAATCAAGATATACCGTATTCGACGTAATAAGCGCCCCGCTCTAATAAGCGCCCACGACGATATTTGCTGATATATTGGCTAGTGAACAATCCCAATTAGCACCCTTCCGATTGATCCATGTACACAAGACTTAGTTATTCGTGTATAATACGCACTCGTGTGTTATATGCACCCTTAATTACTGGCGATTAAATTCTTGAAAAATATATCTGTCGTGTATAATACACACAGACTTTTCTTTTGTATCATTTCTGGCTGTCAGCATAAACCACGAAATTTACGATCTTTCAACCCTTTCACAAAAATTATATTCTAATAAGAAAGCGCCCTCGGCGCTTATTACGTCAAATACGGTAAGTTCAATTGTCAGTCTCTCAAAACTTCTACCTATATGTAATAAAATTATTTTCGTTTAATTGAACAAAGATGTAAACCACGGTGCCATGGTACAAAAGCTCACCTTGTTTCTATTTAGATTGATTAGATTAGATTAAAATTAAGGTGAGCTCAAAACTGTTAATAATCCGATAGGTTTAACTGAAAGTCATTTTAATCATTTTAATAGATTTATATACATAAATGGGAAAACAAGAACCTCTTCAATCATATCTGCAGTCAGCTGTCGTGTACGTGTAATAACAGGCCTGTGTAACCAGCTGATCTGTGAAAGTTGATTCACAGAGACTGTCAAATATTGCACATCAACAAACGTTTCTTCTTTTTCAAATCGAATTTATGTTTATACCTGAATTTATTTTATCCTTGATCCAGCTTAGAAAATGAGACCGGACATCGTCTGTAACATGGTGTAGAACTGCTTCAAATTCACGTTTGACTGTCTCTAAATCTGCCATCTCGATTTCAGGAAGCTGGCGGAGAAACGAAAACAGTCACACGTGTTGATGGTATTTCCGGAAGTAGGGGAATCCTTCAAACGCGCATGCTCCCAGGGAAACCCCTGCTGAAAGAATGTTCTGGCGGGGAATTCAAATAATGAGTGACTAATATGCATATTACGTTGTTGTCTGATATCATGCCAGAGAATAATCATTTTACGTTGAATGGTCTGAATTTCACCATAAAGGAACGAGAATCGGGTTTTTTAATGAGCAAGCAAGTAAATAGCGATTATAATACTGTGGAATACTGATCTTTCGAGAAGTGTAAGAATTCTTTTATTTACCGACAGAGAGCGAGGGTAATACACTAATTCTTACAATAGTTTCGTAATATCGGTAATCTTTTTTAGCTCCCCCTTGTAAAATGCACTGCTCCGTCGTGTAAGAAAACCTCAATTGTCGAATGACGTCAACAACCTTCAGCTTTTACGTCGTCTTATTGTGACGTCATTCCTACCTTACATCACAATAAGACTCGATTTAAATCAACAATGCCGTCACTCTCGCTCGGGAAATACCGGAATTTAGGCACGAGTGTCGTAAACTTAGTATACAGGAACACGAATACAATGTTCTATTTATTAACGAAGAAGATGTCTACATACAGATACATGTTAGTGTTTACCTATAAGGACATCAAGTCTCCAACAGCAGCGGAACCACAATTTGTCGAATGACGTTAACAATATTCAGCTATGATGTCGTTTCTAGTGTGACGTCATTCAGACCTCACGTCACAATACGATTCGAATGACGTTAACAATGCCGTCCGGATGACGGAAATAATACACTGTTGTCTCATGATCACCCAAGGGCACATATGATTTTAATTAACCCCGTTATGTTTGCCCTCGTAGGTAGTAAACGACATTTCGAACTCTATGGGTAATAATTAGAGAATACCATCGAGCTACGAGCAATTACGGATTATCCGTCCCGAGTGAATGAATAGCGAGGCAATGGCGAGGGGCTTACATCATTCATTCACGAGGGACAGATAAATCGTAATTCCGAGTAGGTTATTCTTCTATATTACTCATTAAGATTTGGTTAAACTCTCGCGTTCTCGTGATCTCGCATTTTTGGCATATTTAGCTCGTTCCCAAAGGTCGAGAGAGGCGTTTAACAACAAACACGCAAAGGTCGAGATCGCAAGAATGGAAGATCCCAACATTGTCCCTTACAGTATTCCATACATACGAGTTTCTAATTTTCTCTCTTAAAATGTTAATGAGTAAAATATAGAAAAATATCTACGTATGACATGTCCACTCTACACATAAACTTCACTGATGGTAGCCTATGTTTTAAGATGACGTCGCGTTATCAAAACATGAACAATGGTTGACGTCATATCGTATTTTTTCAATACTGAAACAATGTGACGTATTGAGGCTTCAATTTATCAATTAGCAATGAGAATTACCAAAATTTGCATGTGCAAACATAGGAATGTTATTACCCATGACCATTCTACGCTTGTCGGAAATATATCTAGAATACTGTTCAACGCGTACGCGGCGTTAAACCTAACTTTCTTACTCATGAAACATGAGCGGCTCAGAAGATATGTGGTTATTCATTCCAAATAACAGGGGGCACGGGTGGCCCAGTCGTCTAAGGCGCCGCGATTCGCTGTGCAGAGTTGCGTCCCTTGGGCACGCCAGAAACCTATGGTTGTGGGTTCGAATCCCGGTTCGCCCCAATTATGTTTCTAGGCTTGTCAGCACCATACCCGTGCCCGTGGGTTTCACCGAAGTGGTAAACGTCTGAGACCTGCATCACTTCGGGCTTTCCTCCCACATTAAGCTGACACGCCGTGATATGACTGGAATACTGTTAAAAGCGGCGTTAAACCAAACTCACTCACTCACTCACTCCAAATAACAACGGTCCCAACAGATTTCCGTACCTTTTTAACGCCTGCAGGTATGGTGCAATCGATTTATAGAATTGAGCTGACAAACGAAGTTGGTGATGTTTTAACACTACTTGATTACTGCAAACCGTCATTTAAAAATTTTTGGAAGTAAAAAAAAACAGGTATAAAATGTTGTTTTCTTTCAGGTCTTTGAAAGACATTTTGTTTTCTTTGTATTTAAATTTTGCTTACATTTCGGGTTTCTGTGTTTCTTGAAAAGTCTTTGGAGCAGAGACAGAGGCGTATTCTTGTGTACATCTAGAATGACCTCTGACCTAGTGTTGTCGAAAATCGATGGTGGAAAATAGAAGAGCATCCAGTTGCTTCGTCCGGACATAGTTTGGTAAATGTTGTTTTGGGGATATTTTTAACTTTATTTGCAGTATCGAATCAAAATTTGACATTTACAATGTTATTTTAGTTATGTGTTGATTAAGGTCAAGATTTATTAAATGTATCGACATTTATCAGAACTGGTTTGGAGATTCAGTAAACAAACTAAGCAATCAGTAGATCTATGAATCATACATGTATTTCTAATGTTATATGGAACAAAAAGATTTGGAATTACGGAAACAGTAGCCACGCGTACTACACAACCTTTTTAAATACAGTAATCACATAACTTAGTTAATGCAATACAGATGTAACTCATTTATATAAATACAAAGTAATGATATATTTAAAAAAAACATCACAACAACAAAACACGAATTAATTGCCATGCGAGTTGTATGCTTTCATCTAGCCCTTATATTTTTAATAATAATCACATGGCCCATGTTTCCGCCACTGGCATAGTTCGCGTTCGCGTTAAACACACACTCATCAAATAAACCAACATGCAGAAGGTGATGGAGGTCCACCATTGGAAGAGTACTTTCTCGTGTTGCTGGGTCTATGCAAATACACGGTGCAGTGTGAAAGTCTAACATAGTTGCATAACGACTTCCATCAATCAGTATCTCCGTAATATTTCAAGTACAGTGTTAATAAAACTTAAAATATTACGGAGATACTGATTGATGGAAGTCGTTATGCAATTATGTTAGTGTTAATGGACCCGTGAAGATTCCGGGGTAGAATAGGTCTTCAGCAACCCATGCTTTCCGTAAAAGGTGACTATGCTTGTCGTAAAAGGCGACTATCGGGACTGGATGGTCAGGCTCGCTGACTTGGTTGATGCATGTCATCGATCCCAATTGCGTGGATCGATGCTCATGATATTAATCACTGGATTGTCTGGTCCAGACTCGATTATTTACAGACCGCCGTCATGTAGCTGGAATATTGTTTAATGCGGCGTTAAACAACATGCCAACCAACCAACAACAGTGTTAATAGCCGAAACCCCAACCGCTTAAAAGGCTGCTCCAGAACATCGGCCGGGAAATTAGCTACATATGCTAGAAGTCAGGTCTTTGAAAGGCAAGTGTTTGTTTGTTTGTTGTTTAACGCCGCCCTCAGTTATATTTCAGCTATATGACGGTGGTCTGTAAATAATCAAGCCTGGACCAGACAACCCAGTGATTAATATTGTGAGTATCGATCGGTTTTGTGAAACGATAACATGCATCAACCAAGACAGCGATCCCTATAGTCGCCTCTTACAAGCATAAGGGGCGGTCGGGTAGCCTAGTGGTTGAAGTGTTAGCTCGTCACACCGAAGACCCGGGTTCGATTCCCGACATGGATACAATGTTTGAAGCCCATTTCTGGTGTCCCCCGCCGTGATATTGCTGGAATATTGCTAAAAGCGGCGTAAAACCATACTCACTCGCTCACTCTTACAAGCATAGACGGCTCTGACGACAAGCATGAATGAGTTGATGAAGACCTACTCTAATCCGGATCTCCATGGGTTTAATACTGTTATTGTTCAACAGAAAAGTTACTAGGTACCTTACAGGCTTGGCGTTTCAATAAGTCTATGTAATAGAAGATACTTATTCTTATAAGGCTGTCACCCCCTTTTGGTACGCGAGATTAGGGGATCTGTTTAGAGGGTATTCGGGATTCATCAGTGCTGGATGCTAAACGCAAATATAATCGTATTTGGTATGCAGATTCAACATTTAAAAAATAATCCTTTAAATGTTGTGTTTATTTTGGTAAATATTTCACAGATTTAACATCAAATCACACCCTTTTATGACCTATAGGAACGTGTTCTATAGTTTTTCGTCTGATTTCGTTTTTTGCCTTGTAGAATGACTTCCGTCACGCGCTTTTGAAATGCGTGTGACGGGATTCAGGGATGACCAAATGGGATTCAGAGTGAAAAGTTACATGGTATTTGGGATGATTTATACGGCGGTGAAATATAGAAACACTGACGGTCGATAGCGTCACGTGACCGTGCTGTACAAATATTGCACGTGCCTTTCGGGATGGCCAATTAACCTTGTTTAGCATTTGCTGGTCCCTGATCGACCATATTGGATATTGGACATACTAGATGTTGGTATCAGTTGTCCGGAGATTGCATTCATGACATGAAGCATATTCCTCATAATGGCGTTTTAAATGCAGCAGGGCGTATTGGTGTGGGCCTCCGATCGTTTGATCAATTTCAGCGGCTTGGGAATCCACAAGAAATATTTGCAGTTACTTACAAAGGTTGCCATCCAATTATTAATCGGTCACGTTAATAATGTCCACACTGATGCCGGTAACAAATTGGTAACTTATAACGTTGATCTGAACAACAATCAGTACGGACAATGGATGGGTTGCTTGAAAAAGGGACGGGTGCAATTAAATTACAAAAATGCTCTTGTACATAATTCGGTAAATATTTTGCGTTTGGTAGCCAAACAATCGTCAAATATATCTTATCTGTGTGGAAACCATGTCACCTAAAGATTCGACCCGTGAAGATCCTGGGTAGAATAGGTCTACGGTAAGCATGGCAAGCAGGCGATTATGTTTGTCGTAAAAGAGGCGACTAACGGGATCGGGTGGTCAGGCTTGGTGACTTGGTTGAAGCACGTCATCGTATCACAATTGCGTGGATTGATGCTCATGATATCAATCACTGGATTGTCTGGTCCAGACTCGATTATTTACAGACCGCCGTCATATAGC